GACCGGACCAGACCGGAAAGCAGATAAATACGAAATTGGCCCGGAAATCCAAAGATAGTTCGAGCTTCAGCTTGACCACAGCTGTGGGACGGGCCAATGAAGAGAAATCAAGGTGAGAGCCTCGAACCAGACTCCAGGAGCCCCTCAAAGCGCGAGGGGTCCGGGAACAGGCTGAGCTGGGGCCAGTCGCAGAAGGACAGCCAATCGATGTGAACCTCTTCCTGCTGCTGGAAACCCAGAGCATCCGGGTCGGTGGAACGGCTAAGTGCATCCGCCACATCATTCACAATTCCAGGAACGTGGTCAATGTGCACAGAAATGCGGCAGCGTTGCTGTAACAAGAAGAAGGAACGCAGAACAGAGCACAAGCCTGATGCCATGGAGAGCCCTTTCCAGCTGCTGGATTCGGCGGCAGCGTTATCGCAACGAAAGATGCAGTGAACCGGCCGGTGTCCAGGACCCAGAAGTAAGTGCAGGAGGTGCACACGGGCGCACTGGGCAAGGAGCTCCCATGATGAAATGTAACTCTGTACGGATGCCTGCGAAGGCAGTCACGGAAACAAACCTTGGAGTTCAGCCAAGGAGAATGTGTTCCGGAAGAAAAGTTGGGAGCCATCCGGAAGGCGGACAAAACCGCCCAGCCCCGCGGTGGCAGAGGAAGCGCATGCGTCTGCAAACGCTTGACACTCGATGCGCGGGGGCCGGATCAGAGAGCGGCATTCGGTGCCGGAAGCAGCCAAGTCGAGCCAGAGGCGCAGCACAAGACATGACTCCTCAGAGAGGACGCAGATGCCGGTGTGTGGTGCCGCGGACTGGACCCAGATACGACGAGAGTCAACAGGCAAAAGAGGAAGCTCTGCAAGGGAGGAGACATAAGTCTGGCCAATACGCAAAATATGCGAACCCGGTGGCAGGGCCGCCAGGCCAACGTGATGTAATAGCCGAAGGTCCGGAGACAGCTTGGAGCGGAAGTCGGTCCAACGTTGCGGCACCGCATGATCCTCCTCCGGGCCTGCTTCCCGACTGGCTCAAGTCTCAATCCAGCAGACAAGGGCTGGCTACGATGCAACTCCGAGCCCTTGCGTGGTTTTGTAAAACTGCCGGGCTTCCCAAACTCAAATCCTGCCTCTGCACTCCTATCTGCCAGGCATTTTCTGTTGCGTCCAACCCGCAGGAGCACCGAGAAAGCCTGCCTCTGAGTCTGAGCTTTGTCCTGCACCAGGAGAAATCTGTCCTGGATCCGCTTTCCTCACCGGCTGAAATTCTGCGTCTGGGCTATTTGCTGCTATGTATTTGGGGCTCATTGCGGTGGGGCGATGCGCTCTGGTGCCCGCCCGCCCGTCTGCATTACCAGCCTCAGTCGCATGCGCTCGTGGGCATCTGTCTCCGCACCAAAACCACGAAACGCGGCATGCCGTTTGGTGTTTTGGCGGCCGGGCTCTCCGGCACCACTTCACAATGCTGGTCCCTTCGCTTTCTCAGCGTCTTACGCCAATCGGTCGCCGACACACTGGCGATCAATCCCAATCGCCACCTGGACTTCCTGCCATCATCCTTGTCGGGCTCGGAGGCTCGTCCTATCATTTCCGCTCCCCTGAAGCGGGAGCGCATGGTTCTGTGGCTGCGCGATCTGCTCCTCAAGCATTGGCGCTTGTTCAGTCAGGACCCCGCCCCCGCCGCATTTGGCCTTGTTGCGGCCCACTCACTTAAGTGCACTGTCCTGTCGTGGGCCCGCCAGCCGCATCTGGACTCCGACCTTCGGCGCATTGAGGGGCACCATCGCCAGTCTGGCTCTGACCGTTCTGTCTCCCTTTACAGTCGTGATGACATTTTGCCTATGCTGCGGCTGCAGCGTCTGGTGGTCGATGCTGTCCGCTCCGGTTTCCGGCCCTTGCAGCCCATGGCTCGGGGCCTCAGCGAGCCCCTGCCTGACTTTCCGGTCGTGCTACCTTCCTCAAATTCACTACCGGAGCTGGGGCCTCTCTCTGCGGATTGCCTGCCAGAGGCGCTTCCTTCCCGCCCCTGCCTGCCTCTCGTCCCCTCCGCGTCGTCCACTGGGTCACCGGAGGGTACGGCCACGGCTGATTCGGAAGCTGCCTTGGGATCTCTTTCTTCTGAGTCATCTGACTCCTCTGCAGAGGAGGCGGTTCTGCCTGACGAGCCTGCCGCGGCTCCGGCTCCTAAGGCTGTGTCCCCGCCTCCATCTGCTTCTGTAACCGCATTCGGCTGCCTTTGGAACGCACGCAGTAACGTGGTTCATGTAGCCATGCGGACGGAGCCTTCTGCAATTCGCTCCAAATCTTTTATTGTGGACGGTTCTACAGTCTGGCTCCGCCCTCTGTGTGGCGCACGAACGCACCAACTCGATCCTGACAGTTTCTGTCAAAAAGCTCCAGAGGATGCTATCCTCTGCACCCGCACTAGCTGCTTCTCGCGCTGGTCTGCGTAGCTGTTCAAAAAGTGCGCCCGGCTGGCTGTCTTGCCTCCACCGAGCTGTCTGCGGGTACCGGCTTGCCTGCTCTGTCTACCGCAGCCGTTTCTCTCCTTGCCCTTGGTAGGTCCTTGCTCTTGCCCTGCCCTCGGCCATGGCTGACCAGGCAAACCACGACCTGCCAGATGGCTTCTTCCTTTCGGAGGAAGAAGAATCTGCCCTCGCTGCGGCGGGGGCTGCAGCGGACACAGCGCCCTCTGTGTCTGGGTCCGCCATGTCGGACACTTTGAAATGCCGTCTCCGGGTGGCGCTTGGGATACGTCTGCCATGGCCCTGGCGGACGCCGCGACACCGGCGGTGGGTCCGGACTCTGGGTCAGGCTCATCCGCTCCCCTGGCGATCTATATCAGCCCCACTACTCCGGTTCCGGGAACCAGTGGTCGGGCTATGCCAGCCCCTTGCCGGCGGTGCCCATGCCGTCTGTCTTGGTCCGTCCGGGGGCCTCTGATGGCCAACTGCTGGATGGGCTGTCCCTTCTGTCACCGGACATCCGCCAGCGCCTGCTGACCATTCTGCATGCGATGGAATACCGCCAGGTGGGGCAAGCCCGGGTGGTGCCCCGCCGCAGTCGCGCCCGGGCCGTAATCCTGCGCCGGACCCGGCCCCCAAGCGTCGTGCCTTCCCGGAAGCCCAGGATTTCTGCACCATCGCGTGCCGCGTTCCCGGCAGTGACCGTCTCTGTGGCCGTCCTCTGACGCCACGCGGCCACCGGAACCATTTTTGCCGCCGCTGCCACCGTCGTCGCTAGCCTGCTCCAAGCACTACCGGCGGGGCCCCACACAAAAAATGTGCATCACTCTGCTATGCATTGGTTGCGGGGTTTGGTGCTTGCCTTGCTTCTTTCTTTTTCTTGCGACTGCCTGCCGCCTGCCGCAGCCGTTTTTTCTTCAAGCCCAGGTCGTGCGTTCTCCTTCCCGTCGCCTTGTGCCTGCCCGGCATGTCCGTCCGACCCCGGTTGGACGATCCGGCGGCACTGGTGGCTTTGCTCGACCAGCTCTCTGCCTCCCCAGCTGTGCGCACTGCCCTTTCCAATAAAGGTTTTGCGTCACTGGGCTCATTAGCTTTTGCTGTGTCCGACCTGTCGGATGCAGATGAGGTTCGCCTTTTTCTCCGCTCCACGCTGTCCTTGGCTGACACGGACGATGCGGCACTGGTGTCTGCGGACTCTTCTTGCATTCGCAGGCTGCTGTTTGAAGCCTCTTCTGCAGCTCCACCCAAGCCGGCTCTTGGCACTCCTGCCTTGCCTCCGGCACCGCCCGCGTCTGCCTCGGCGTCCAAGATCGCAGTCCCTGACCTCTTGCACTTGCGCAAGACTTTTCTGGCTAAGTATCCTGGCGAGCTCCTGACCCCGGACTCTGCCCCATCGGTGGATTTTCTTTCTCTTCTTAAGAACCATCATGACTCGCAGCAGTCCCTATGGGTCCCGTGGCGTTTGCGTACATCGGAATCCGATGCCACGCGCTGGGAGGAGGCCCGACGCCCCCGCAACGACCGCCAACTGCTCCGGTCGTTGCTGGACGCGGATGCTGAACCTGCATCTGCATCGATAAACCTCAACATGCAGGGCCCACCTGACCCGGTATTGCGTCGCTCTTTGAGCTTGTTCGCCACCGCCCTGGCCATGCTGGACCTCGTCCATTTGGCCACCATCAAGAAGTTCAATGATAGGTTCCTGCATCTGTCACTGACACCGCCCATGGACGCATCTCTCCGGGGCCCGTCTCTCCAGGAGATCGTCCTGGCAGACCGGTCGGTATGGGCCTCCGTGTCTGAGCTCATCCGGGACCATGGCTGGAGCCTTTCGGATTCTCTCAATCAGATTGCGTTTTGCGAATCTGCTGCAGGCCAGACCGCGTCCGCCAAAACCCCCATCCGGCCCTCCTGGTGGCGGCAAGGGCGACCGCAAACGGCCATACACTGCCGATGGTCCCGGCTCCGATCCGCCGAATCCCCCCGGAAAGGGCGACTCCCCGGCCAAGCCCAAGGGCAAGGCCAAAGCCAAGGCCACTGCCAACCCGCCCCCCAAGGGGTTCGACCCCTCCTGGCTCCGCACCATCAACGGGAAAGAAGCATGTATGCGGTTCGCGGTCGGGAAGTGCACGAAAGAAGACGGTCACTTCTTCCATGGCTGTCCTGTTCCGCTTCCCAATGGAAAGGCCTGTGGTCAGCCGCATACCGCCCTGGACCATGGCAAGACGCCTCACTGAACCACGCCAGCACTTCCTGCCGTGTCTCTGCCACTGGTTCCGCCTGAACCTATGGGCTCTCGGCTCCCGGGTCCGTCTCCATCCGCCCACCCTCCTTTCCAGGTGCTTGCTTCGCCGCCAGCGGGCGACGCTGCGGTCCGCCTCCCTGCGACTGTGGTACTTGCGGCTTCCCCGGCATCTCCCACTCAAGTGGACGAGTTTCAGTCGGAATCTATGAATGCCACGCCTGCCAAGCGGTTTTTCTTGGACCTGTTTGCTGGTGCCTCCTCGCCAGTCTCCCAAGCAGTTGCGGACTTAGGCCTGGCTCGTCTGGAACCGGTGGACGTACTGGTCGGTCCGGCTCATGACCTTCTGGATGACTCCACCTTCCAGAATCTCCAGCGGTTGTGTTCTTCTGGCCTGGTGGGTGTGGCAGCTGCGGCCCCCCCATGTTCTGCCTTCTCTCGGGCGAGACTTCGTCCGGGGGGCCCGCCTCCTGTGCGCACTCTTCTGCACCCCACTGGCATACCACACCCGTCGGTTTCTCAGGCTAGGGAACTGGAGACGTCAGCGCTTCTGCATTCCCGCACACGTCACCTGCTGCATCTGGTGGCAGGTCGTGGCGGACTGGTCTGGTTAGAAAACCCGTCCTCCAGTTTACTCTGGCTTGACCCTGAGGTGATCGCTTGGTGCCGTCTTACGGCTCCCTTCATGGCCACGGTTGCTGCCTGTCAGGTTGGCCTTCAGCTCCACAAGTCCTGGTCCTTCTGCTGCAATGATGCATCCGTTTCCCAGCTTGCGTCCGTGTGCCCGCATCCCATCGGCTTTCATCCAGCCGTGTCCGGGAAAAGGGCTGCAGATGGCTCCTTTCTCACGCGGAACACCGCTGCCTACCCTGCTTCCCTGGCACTGTCTCTGGCGCAACTTGCTGCCCCGTGGCTGTCGAAAGACACATCGGGCACTGCTCCGGTTGCTTTGGCTACGTGGCACTCCTTGCTTCCCACTCGACTACCCTGGCCGGACTTGATGCACCGGGTGGAGGACGGAGCTGGCACGTGTAGCACTGCCCGCCCTGACCCTGCCAAGTTCTCGGACCCCTTCCGCAGCCTGCGCACGTCGTGGTCTCGCCGCTTCCTCCGAGATGGCCTTGCGGCGCGCATCGCTACTGCTCTCAATTCAGGCAGCCGTGAACCTCCACTCTCTGAATCCGAGCTGGAACCTTTCCTATCGGATTTGCGCAGCTTCTTAGGGGTCACTGACGACGCTGCTTGGCGTCACCTTCTCCGGGTTCAATCAGGGCAGCCTTTCCGTCTTGAGCTATGGCACCGCCTATGCGTGGCGTGCGCTGACCCTGACACCGAATACTTTGACCTACTACGCGAAGGGGTTCCCCTGGGGATTTCGTCGCCCATCCCGCCGTGCAAAGTGATGGCGCCCCCGGGCCCACCCGACTCTGCCACCATCCCCTTGCAGCACTGTGAATCCTCTTGGAAGTCGGCCATTGACCACTCCGAGACTGTCGATGAATTGCTGTTAGAGGAACTGGCTCAGGGTTGGATCGCGATTGTACCGGGCGGCGACGATGAGCTCCGTAGGGAGTATTCCGTCTCCGCTGTAGGGAAGCTTGGGGTGGTCCTTGCGGAGGGCCGCCCTCCCAGACTTGTAGTGGATTCCTCCGTGTCTGGGGTGACCTGCCATACGGCTCTGCCCAATCGTTCCTGTAACCCTACACTCACCGATGTGTTCTCTTCTATGCCCTTGTCTGACTCCCTGGAACGCCTCGTTGCTCTGGTGTTGGACGTTGCCAAGGCCCACCGCCGCATTCTGATTCGCAAACAGGACCGTGGCCTCCTCTGTTTCCGTCACAACAACGTTCTGTATCAGTGTACTACTCTTAATTTTGGCGCCCGCGTCTCCAGCTTCTTCTGGGCCCGCGCCGCAGGGTTGCTGCTGCGGCTAATTCACCGTCTGCTCCGTGTCCGTCATTCTGCCAAATTTTATGTCGACGATCTCCTCTGCCTTCTCGATTCCGCATCCGCCCCCGTTTGGGCATCACATGTTGTGGTGTTGCTGCTGCTCATCAGGGTTCCTCTGTCGTGGCACAAATGTGCTCTTTCCCAGAGGGTGGTCTGGATTGGCTGGGAGATCGATCTTGCCGTCTTTACAGTACGCTTGGACCCCCAGAAATTCAGAAGACTCTGTGACCTCCTTCGCCAAGCCCTTTCTTCCCGGCGTTGCTCGACACATCTTCTGGAACGTGTCACCGGGAAGCTCCTCTAAAAGTTAAGCCAGGCATCGAAATAGCGCAAAAGTGTAGAGGGAGCGAACTTCCTGGCGGCCCGATCCAGGAGAAAGTCCCGGTTCTGGGAAGCGCAAGCCTCCATGTAGAGGGCCGAGGCAGAGCCGAGCTCCGAAAGGAATTCCCGCCACCGAACCAGCAAAGTGGCATACTGTTGATCCGTTTGGGAGGCAGAAGATTCCGAGGTATGGGACCCGGCAAGGTACATACTCTGCGTGGCTGAGGCCGTCAGCTTGAGTTCCAACGCAGCCGGTGGCAGAGGCAGAGTAACAGACGCCTGGCAAAGTGCAGCGGAGACCTGGGGGATAGGCCTGAACTTCCTGAAAGCAGGGGGAGCCTGTACCGGCAGGTCAACACGCGGAGCCGGACGAAAAGAAGACGGGGGAGGAGAAGGAGAGACAGCGGGGGAGGCCGGTGGGAGGCCGAAGCCCCGAGGGCGGTAGGATGATGAGAGCGAGCCAGCATGCCAGCGAGAGCGAGGAGCAAAAGACGGTGCCGACATGGGCCCCGGTGAGGGAGCAGGGGGCACCATGGACCAGGAAGCCGAAGAGGCGCTCGGGGATGGGCCCGGTGAGCGTGCAGCCGCAAGACCGCCACGAAGGAGAGGATGGCTGGAGCAGGAATGGCCTTGGCACGGACTGAGACGGGCTCGGAGGCGGAGAGGCGAGAGCCGCCAGCTGTGAGGCCGCAACCTGAGAGTGCTGTGCATTTGGTGACTGAGCCTGAGTCTCCAAATCCACGACGAACGGCTGGGTATCAGCCAAGGACGGGGGCAGAGTCAGAGGCAGACCCGGAAGATCGGCGGCACTAGCTGGGGCAGAGGCAGAAACAGGCGGAGGCGGGCCAAGGACCCCGCCCACGGCCTCGGGCTCCAAA